TCTGATTCTGACAAAATCGGACCATGGTATTAGGATTGAAAAACTCACTGCCAGTGCCTTATCATTTATATTGATAGTTTTAAAATAATTTTTTCATCAGAATATAAACGTGATTCATGTAGGAAATCCATTCTACTCTGTAAATGAGCCCGGCTCTCTGTACTTCCGAGTACTTTGATTATCATTTATGAAGCCAGTCGATGCAGACTTCACGACATACACAATTTGTGTTTTGTAAAGGGGTAAAACAATAATTTTCAGTTTATATATACATCCTGGTAGTTGCTACCGATGTAATTGTTTATGTTGAAAATATATTCTTGGACTAATTCCGACCTGGTGACAATAAAGTTTCTCGGGTGATCTCCCTTTGATTACATAGTGACCATGGAGACGAGATCGGCATCTTCGGGAGATAATTATAACATCAATACATTGTTTGTAAAATAAATAAGATTTGGGGGAAAGAGTATCCATTTTTTAAAAATATTTCAGTAAAATCAATGATAATGTAAACCTAGATCAGCTGCGCTTGACTAAAAAGTCTTGGGTTAGGAATGAGTCACCATTATTGCATCTTCATGCAGTCATGCTTATAGAGACTCCGAGAGACTTTCGTACATTTTTTGCACCACAACACAAAATAACATATAATAAATGGTATATTTGCATTTAAAGACTAATTAAAATTTACAAAAGCAACATATAATCTTGTTTCTTTTTAATTAATTTGGGTGAACCCCCATTATTTCTACTTTGGTGGTCGATGCGAAGAGATTTGAATCGAACGAAAATTAAATATTTCGATGTGGCCACACCCATCGAACAAAATAAAATAACACTCTATTTGTTCATTTTCTAATTTTCTTTTTAATGGTGTGAATTTTATTTTGTTCAAAGGGTGTGGCCACAGCAAAAATTTGAATCAAAGGCGGAAAAAATTCTAAATTTTGATAAAAAGTGGCAAAGTTCACGTGTTTAGACGTTTTCTACACAAATATGACGTCATCAAATGAAAATTTTGGCGTAAACTATTCAAGTTTGATAACTAAGGATAATATTTCCGTAAATAATTTTCTTCTTCCCCTCACTTTATTTTTCCTAAAATCACTAGGCCGATTTAGCACATTCGTGGATTTAGCTCTTTAGCTCTTTTTATATCTCTTTTGTCTTTCAACATATACATTATGTCTGTGCATCATTAATTTGTACTCTTAAAACTGCTTTAAAGATCTTATTCTTGTCCCCTAACATTAACCCCTTTAAAAGTTATTGCCCCTTGTGCGAAAAAACCTTGTTATCGCTACTCCTCCAAAACCATAGACCGTAGAGACACCAAACCTTCACTAATGTCTTAAGGGTCTTTAGTCTTAACTTCACTGTATAAGTGCAAAAGGATCTGATGACCCATTATATGAGTTATTGCCCTTAAACTTCTTTGTACTAACCATTAAAACTTATAATTTGAAAATTATACATCGTAGAAGCATGCGGTCAAATACATTGTGACCCTTGACCTTTGACCTTGAATATTTTTCAAGGTCAAAAGCCAAGGTCATTCATCTTTTTTATTTTCATTTTTTCTTTGCTTTAAGAGATTTTTGGTATCTTTTTCATGGAATTTAATTTTTAGGAGTCAGATATAAAACAAATTTGAAATTAATAGAAGGTGGAAAGACCTCTTATTGTTCTGTGAACAATAAGTCTCCTAGTATTTTTTATTATTTTTCCGCCGTGTGATTTTGAGTTTCAAGATTTATCGAAAAGATTTTAAGTTCATAAGAATGTACTTCGTAAAAGATTTTTGCAGTTGACCCTGCGTATATGAACTATGACCTCTTTCGGAGTTATTTCCCCTTTCGGAAAACAGCTTGTTATCGCTACTCCTCCAAAACCGTAAACCGTAGAGAAATGAAACCTTCACTAATGTCTTCATCTAAGTAACTAGACACTTCATTGATCAATTGGAAGAGTATTTATTGACCCCTTCAATGAGTTCTTGCCCCTGGAAGTTTTTGAATTTTAAAAATAATCAAAAATTTTCAAAACAAGAAGTCGTAGAGACATGGGACCAACTGCATAAGATTCAATGACCTTTGGTCTTGAAATTTATTGAAAGGTCAAAGGTCAAGGTTATTCCAAAACTGAGAAATTTAGCTCTTTTTATATCTCTTTTGTCTTTAATCATATACTTAATGTCTATGCATCATTAATATGTACTCTTAAAACTATTTCAAAGATTTCATTCTTGTCCCTTAGGATTAACCCTGTTAAAAGTTATTGCCCCTTGTGCGAAAAAAACTTGTTATCGCTACTCCTCTGAAACCGTAGACCATTTCGACATCAAACCTTCACTAATGTCTTAAGGGTCTTTAGGCCTAACTTCATTGTATAAGTGCAAAAGGATCTGATGACCCCTCAGGAGTTATTGCCCTCTAACTTCTTTGTACTTACTATTAAACCTTATAATTTGAAAACTATAAGTGGTAAAAGCATGGGGTCAATTGCATTGTGACCCTTGACCTTTGACCTTGAATATTTTCTCAAGGTCAAAGGTCAAGGTCATTCTTTTTTTATTTTCATTTTTTTTAGGGTTTAAGAGAGTTTTGATTTCTTTTTCATGGAATTTAATTTTTAAGAGTTATATATAAATCAAATATGAAATTCAAAGAAGGTGGAAAGACCTCTTATTGTTCTGTGAACAATAAGTCTCCTAGTTTTTTATTAGGTCTTTCCACCTTTCTGTGGAAAGACCTATTGATTTCCTTCTGTTTCTTCTTTTTAGGTCTTTCCACCTTCCTGTGGAAAGACCTCTTGAAATGCTTATGTTTATTATTATTCTTCTTCTTCTTCCCGGACTTTTGAAACCGCAAGACTTATCGAAAAACTTTATAGTTCATGAAACTGGATATCAAGAGTTATTCTGAAAAACGACAGCCCTTGTTTGAACTTTGACCCCTTTCGAAGTTATTGCCCTTTACGCAAGAAATGCTTGTTATCGCTACTCCTCCGAAACCGTAAACTGTATAGACACCAAACCTTCACTAAAGTCTTTGACTAATTGAGAGGATTCTGGAATCTATTCATTGCGAAAGTATTCGGTGACTCCTTCAATGAGTTATTGCCCCTGAAACTTTTTGAATTTTAGAAATTATTAAAAATTTTCAAAACGAGAAGTGAGAGAGACATGGGACCAACTGCATAAGATTCATTGAGCTTTGAGGTTAAAATTCATGTAAAGGTCAAAGGTCAAGGTCATTTCAAAATTGAGAAATTGAGCTTTTTTTATATCTTTTTTGTCTTTTAACATATACAAACTGGCTTAGCATCATTAATATGTACTCTTAAAACTATTTGAAAGATTCAATTTGTATTCCGTAAGATTGACTCTATTAAAAGTTATCGCCCTTTGTGCGGAAAACCTTGTTATCGCTACTACTGCGAAACCATAAACCGTACAAATATGAAACCTTCACTAAAGTCTTCGACTAATTGAGAGGATTCTGGAATCTATTCATTGCAAAAGTCTTTGTTGACTTCTTCAATGAGTTATTGCCCCTGAAACTTTTTGAATTTTAAAAATAATTAAAAATTTTCAAAACGAGAAGTGATAGAGACATGGGACCAACTGCATAAGATTTATTTACCTTTGAGGTTAAAATTCATGTAAAGGTCAAAGGTCAAGGTCATTCCAAAATTGAGAAATTAAGCTCTTTTTATATCTTTTTTTTCTCTTAACATATACAAACTGTCTGAGCATCATTAATATGTACTCTTACAACTATTTAAAAGATTCAATTCGTATTCCGTAAGATTGACCCTATTAAAAGTTATCGCCCTTTGTGCGGAAAACCTTGTTAATGCTACTACTTCGAAACCGTAGACCGTATAGACACTAAACCTTCACTAATGTCTTAAGGGTCTTAAGGCCTAACTTCAGTATATAAGTGCAAAAGGATCTGATGACCGCTTATATGAGTTATTGCCCTTTAACTTCTTTGTACTTCCTAGTTAACCTTATAACTTGAAAACTATAAGTCGTAGAAGCATGGGGTTAATTGCATTGTGACCCTTGACCTTTGACCTTGAATATTTTTTCAGGGTCAAAGGTCAAGGTCATTTCTTTTCTTTTTTTTTTTTAAATTTTTGATATCCTTTAACTCTTTACCATGCGTAGACGCACATGTGCGTCCTAATTTTAAAGCTTCCTCACAGTCGCTTATATGCGGCGAGATAAGCAAGCCCTATATCCTCAGTAGCGCAGATAAGCGACTTCCCCTAGTATCGATGTATACTTGAAGACGCACATTTGCGACAATTTACCGATGTTACAAAAGTGATGATTGGATATTTTTACGATCATGTGATTCTAAAATACCAATAACACTGACTGAGACAAATGTTCGGCCTAACTTACTACGTCATTATTTTCCAAATATGGGGATGGGAATTCCTTTGTTTCAGAGAGTAAACACGATCGAGTATTTTTGGAGAAGCATGTTTACATCAAAATGGCGGATGAAGATAGTGATAATTTCTCGGAATGATTTTTTTGATGAAGATTTAAATGATGATGGTACCAAAGATAATGAAAGTGATATATCTGTTTCCCCTTTGTCTACGCCTGATAATTCACCGGAAAATTCTAGCAGTAGGAAGAAAGTGATGACGAGGATTTGGCATGGCGGTCAGTGCTGAGAAAACCGGTAAACAAAACTTTTTCTCTCCGTTGGTGCAACTTTTACTCTCGATGCAGGACAAAATGAACTTGATTTCTTTATGAGATTTTTTTCTGAAGATATGATTAAACTATTGGTGACAGAAACAAATAAATATGCCGAACAATGCCAAGAAACAAAGCCCGACCGTAACTGGAAAGACGTTGAAATGGAGGAAATGAAAGCATTCTTAGGCATTCATGTTTATTTGTCAATTGTGCAACTGCCTTCAATACATTAAGTCAACAGTGGCCTTTTGGAAGTCCATCCATACCTAATATAATGACTAGGAGTCGTTTTGAACTTCTTAGCAAATATCTACATTGCAATGATGTCACACAAAACCCACCTAGAAGAACACCTGGACATGACAAATTGTGTCACATCAGACCTGTCTTGGATTATGTACTGAATAAATGTGTCAAACCACACTGTGAACAAAGTGTAGATGAAGGAATGATTGCTTACAAAGGCAGACTTTCATTCAAACAGTTGCCAGCTAAACCAACTAAATTTGGTATAAAGGTATGGGAAAGAGCGTCTCCCCGTAACGGATATTGTCACGAGTTTCAAATTTACACGGGAAAAGTGGACAGAGAAAAAACAGAAGAAGGTCTAGGAGAGCGGGTTGTCAAAGATTTAACAAGAAAAATTATCAACAAAGGACACCATATTTATATGGACAATTTCTTCTCTTCTCCTAAGCTATTTTCGTCCTTATTCAAAGAAGATTTGTACTGCTGTGGGACTATCGAAAAGGTATGCCAGAAGGCATTAAAAGCTGCAAATTAAAGAATCATGGGGAATATAAAATCATGCAGAAAAATGAGCTATGTGCAACAGCATGGAAGGACAAAAAGATGGTTTTTTATTTGTCCACTAATTGTGACCCAAACGAAAAGATCACAGTACAGAGAAAGCAAAAAGATGGATCCAAAAAGGATGTGCCATGCCCAATTATTGGTCAGCAATATAACAAATTCATGTTTGGTGTTGATCGAGCTGACCAATTACGGATGCAATATTCGACCTGTAGGAAGTCTAAGAAATGGTGGAAATATCTAACATTTGTGTTGTAAACGCATTTATTTGCATGAAAGAGTCTGTGAATCACGTCATAAAAACAAAAAAAGGAAGAGAAGTGGCCAGGACTCAACTAAGTTTTAGGATGCAGCTCAGTCGGCAACTTATTACCGGGGTTCAAGAAAAAGAAAATCTCCAACATTGACCCTTCTCCTTGCACACTGGCCTGTGAGAAACAGTGTGCAATTGACAAAAAAAGACATGATGTGTTTATTCAATGTAAACAATGTGCAGTGTTTCTCTGCATTGACAACAATTGTTTTGAAAAATGGCATTCCAAATAAATAAATAAATAAAGTGTGAAAGTTAGGAAACATTGAGATTAATTTCTGTAAGAAAGCAGCTGATTTCATCATAAATTAAATATGTTTTGACTGTAAATTATAGCATCTGATAGATGAATATTGAACATTTCATGTTATACATGTTATTTAGAAATGTGAATAGATAAAAAGATAATCATCAATAAACAAGTCTTACAGCTCTGTGTCTTAATTTTAGCACAGCTGGAATTTATCTCTGGTAGTGAGCTAGTAAACAAGCGCTGAAACGCAGCCTGAGTTCTTATCAGCAGCAGGCTATCTGATAAGGATAGTGTGGCAGTTAAAGAGTTAAGAAAATTTTAGTTTCTTATTCATGGAATTAAATTTTAAAACAAAATTGAAATTCAAAGAAGGTTTTTTGTTCTTTGAACAATAAGTCTACTAGTTTATTATTTTTCTGCCAATTTTTTGTTTCAAGATTTATCGAAAAGATTATTATTTCATAAAAATGTAAAAAGATTTTTACAGTTGACCCTGCGTAAATGAACCTGGACCCCTTTTGGAGTTATTACCCCTTTCGCAAGAAATGCTTGTTATCGCTACTCCTCTGAAACCGTAAACCATAGAGGTATGAAACCTTCACCAATGTCTTCAACTAATTAAAGGGACTCTTCAATCTATTCATTGCAAAAGCATTCGATGACCCCTTCAATGAGTTATTGCCCTTGGAACTTTTGAAATTTTACAAATAATTAAAAATTTTCAAAACAAGGAGTCATAGAGACATGGGACTAACTGCATAAGATTCATTGACCTTCGACCTTTAAATTCATTTAAGGTCAAAGGTGAAGGTAATTGCAAGAATGAGAAATTTAACACTTCTTATATCTCTTTTGTCTTCAATGTATACTTAATGTCTAAGGATCATTTATATGTACTCTTAAAACTGTTTCAAATATTTCAATCTTGTCAACATTGAAAAAGTTATTGCCCCTTGTGCAAAAAACCTTTTTATCGCTACTCCTCCGAAACCGTACCGTAGAGACACCAAACATTCACTAATGTCTTAAGGGTCTTAAGGCCTATTCACTGTATAAGTGCAAAAGGATCTGATGACCCCTTATATCAGTTATTGCACTTCTTTGTACTTACTATTAAACCTTAAAACTTGAAAACAGTAGTGATGTTTACATTGTGACCCTTGACCTTGAAATATTTTCTCAATGTCAAAGGTCAAGGTCATTCATTTTTTTTTTAATTTTCATTTTTTTCCATGCTTTCAGAGAGTTTTGGTTTTATTTTTAATGGAATTTTTTTACAGTCAGATATAAAACAAATTTGAAATTAAAAAAGGTGGAAAGACCTCTTCTGTGAACAATAAGTCTCCTTGTTATTTTTCCGCCGTGTGATTTTGAAGATTTATCATTTTTATTCCATAAGAGAAATTTTTGCAGTTGACCCTGCGTAAATGAACTTGGACAGTTATTACCCCAAATGAATAAGATTCAATGACCTTTGGTCTTGACATTTACATAAAGGTCAAAGGTCAAGGTCATTCCAAAACTGAGAAATTTAGCTCTTTTATATCTCTTTTGTCTTTCAACATATACATTATGTCTGTGCATCATTAATTTGTACTCTTAAAACTGCTTTAAAGATCTTATTCTTGTCCCCTAACATTAACCCCTTTAAAAGTTCCTTATCCCCTTGTGAAGCTACGCTACTCCTCCAAAACCGTAGACCATAGAGACA